GTTGATATCTTCACAGCTGCGCAGCTTTTATACAGAACACGAAGGTCCGGAGACTAGGGCACGGTAAACAGGGTTACTCTGTACAGTCCTTGAAACAGAGCATGTGTTTGCCAGGTCTGGTGAACGAGCAGGCATAGAGAAACTCCGCTGCCTCCATATCCCGAGCTGTGGTTGCTCAGATCCGTCTCCAACTCAACACCGAAACTTGGGGGAGTACCTATCAACCGCCAGCTCACCCACTGAGGAGAAATCCTGCTGAACCCTGAGCAGGCCTTGAAAATAGGGGTGTGTCAAAAGAGGAGTGATGAAATAGAAGGCCAGATGGCAATGCAGGTTGACCAGAACCAAAAATACTTATATCTAAATATTCTTTTCATACTGGGAAATGAGTGATACATGCTTTGAGGCGACTCTCAGAATGTATGAGCAAAAAAGGTAACAAGTAGCAGTTATTTTTTACTGTCTGAGGTGCTTCCACCCACAGATTACTGGTAATGGTTTCTGGTTAGGAGCTATACTATAGATGAACCTAATGTATGTCCTTGCTTATGTGTACAGACACATATATAATAGCATTATATTGTATGTGGAGTCTTGGGATCTTTTCCTTGCTTCCTTTTGTTGTTGGGTCAGTCACTGCCTACTGATTGTTTTCTTAAAGCCAGTGAGCAATATTTAAGATGTGCTGCTTCGCTTCTCTAATTTCGCATTTATACCCTGCATATCAGCATATAAAAATGAGAAAATTAGAAATGTGTTTTTTTCCCACAGTTACCAATGTTTTCAGGGCTAATTATTGCTGGTAAGTGTGAAAATATACAGCTGTGCTCATGCAGCTGGAGACACACCTATGCAGCTGATTTTTAACCAACGCAGGCAAGGCACTTGGAATGGTATTTAAGATGAGGCACATACATTTTTCCAATCCTTGAATGAAAACCCGAAGCATTTGATGGGTGTATGATTGAGCTGCTGATCCAGGAGTCTAGTTTGTTGGGGTTTTTTTCCCCTAATTTCTGTTTTCCTCCTTTTGTAAATCTCTAGTTGCAGCTTTGTATTGCTTGTTTACAAAGCTGATGTTGGCTCTCTATAAGGGAGAGATACTACCTCTTATGTAAAAGGAAAAGTCCCATTAAAATGCGCTCAACTTCAAGACAGCGTTTACAATTGACAATCAAATATGAAATTCTGATCCCCCAGGGCTTAACTGTACCAGTGGGGAATCAGAACCCAGAGTGTGCGAGCTAAAGCAAAAGGGCAGGGCAGGACTGGGGCACTGCTGCAGCTTTGTAACACGAGTTGTGCCGACAATTGCCAGGAGCTCCATTTTGTAGGCTTCAGTCTTTTAGATTACTGACTGGCTGTCTATGTTAGGAAAAGATTACATTAGGAACACACAACTCAACTGCTCCCTTTCCTGCAGTGCTGAAAGGCAGTTCGTTACCTGCATTAGCAGGATAACCAGTTTTTTATTGCTGTTATGGAAACCGTAATTGAAATGGTCTCAGCTGCCTTTGCTATAATAATGGTGATGCTGGAAATGTTTTCCTCTCATTTGACTTTTCATTTTAGGGTACTGACAGCAATATTTTCTGTAGAAATGGTCACCAGTGAACTTTGTCTGAAGAGGGCAATTTTTCCTGTTAAGTAAAGAACTTTGAGCTTCTACAAGAAATGGTTTGACGACTAGCTGATGCTTGACAGGGTGGGGGAAATAGGCAGACAGTTGCTGCGTATGCACAGGTATGCCAAAGTACTGTCCCTGGACGTGATTTTTCTATGGCAAAAGGAAATCTGTGTAAAATGCAAGACAGAATAACAGCTCTGAAGTTTCAAAACCTGTGGGGATGTACCAGTATCGCATTCAGCACATCGTCCCTGAAGATGTTACGATGTAGTGAAGAGACGACCGAGGCAGGACAGTAAAACACAAGCAAGGTGAAGTTCTTCAAAGGAAGGCATATACCAGCTGACTGCTTCTATTTTTGAGTTGCTAAATGCTTTTAGTAGCACTGAAGATCAAAACCCAAAGTGTTCATTTATGGCATGGTCCACTCTAACCAAAGCTCCAGAGAGTCTCAAAATATTACAACCTACTTATAAACTCCCATTAGCAAGTTTTTTGTTTTTAATAAATAAAGTCCCATAGAAACAGAAAGTATTTACAATTAGATCAAAATTCTGAATATAATTCACAAGAGAAAATGCTATTTTTTGAGAAAATGTTTTCATATCCTCATAACAGTCATTTGTTCTAAATAAGTACATAGCAATTGTCCATTAAATGAACATTTTTCCCTTAAGACCTATTCTTGTAGAAAAGTATTTTAGGCAAAACTTCCTAACCATGATGTAACCATTTAGAATCAGAACATTTCTGTGATTAGTAATTCACATAAAAATTAACATTTTCCATGGCTTGAGGAAAACATGATGAATAACTATCAAAATGTAAGAGAATACAGGATGTAGGGAGAACAATATATTTTATTAAAGCAGCTTATACAGTTGAAAGAAAAGTATAGGCTTTGGGGCATTCAGTCCCTTCACCCTAATAGAAGTTAACACCTGCTCCTGCAAAACTGCCTTCTCTTTTATTCTTAGACCATTATGACTACGATTACACTACCAGTCTCAAAATATATGGATTGTGTACGTCCATGTTGGACAGAATGGCTTAAACACTGTCACTGCTGAACTGCTACTTTCAAAAATATTACCACTTGCAATAAAGTAGAATTAAGCTCTTTGAGTTAATGTGCTTCTGGGTTACACAAAATTTTTTCCTGTAACAAAGAAATGAACTTGATTTCATTGTCAGTGCAACTCTTTCACTGTCCTTTAAAAATAATTTAACATTACTTACATAAGAACGTGTCCTAGAATTCTTCTTTATTTAAAACTATCTCTCTTTTCTAGTGAAGCCAATGTGAAACTGGATTGTATAAGAAATGCAGGCTCAGATTAAGAGTTTTTGCTGTGTGTCGCTATTATAGGAATTCCAAGTTAGAGCTGGGGTCCATCTCAGTGCCATCTAATCTTTGATACATCCTCCTACAGGAGGCGATGAACTCTGCAAATAAATAGAGGTTCTCCCACTAAATGACAGATGGCAAAATCTCAGATGGCTAGGGTCCAGTGGAAAACTACTTAAAACAAGAAGAGAGAGAATATTTTTCTTTTGAATTATAACAACCACAAATTAGTGTGCATGTAATTCCTGTCAGAATCTGATGCTCAGCTGGCACAATGTGTCTATCTTGAAATGTGCGTCTTGAAACATGTCTATCTTGAAACATGTCATCCTAGGCATTAATAGGCAATATGCAATGAGCATTAATAAGCAATATTCCGTTTGCTTTAGGGCAGTCATTTCCAAGTTATGTGAAATGATCTCACTGTGAACTTCGTGAAGATCAAAGCTGTTTGCTTTAGCCTCATACTGACTTCACCTCGGTGCAATTTCACCTGTGGGTTCGAAGCCTTGAGGCTGAATGATCCAATTCTCCAAACGTCCTGGTGGGCAAAATGCATACTACTGACCATAGGCCCAGAGGTTATCTGAAATAAGTAGTAGGAGACATTTTCGGGTGTAGAAGGCATAAGCTTAAGGATTTATTTTAATACTTGTCTCTGTCAGCCTCTTTACTGCATAATTTGAAGCAACTTAGATCGTCAAGGTCTACACTGGGAGTAAGGCCAATTTATACTCCCTGAAAATCCAGTCTACTCACATGTACGCCTACATTACCTCCTGGTCCACTTAGGCATCACCACTGAACTTGTCTCACTAAGTTTAAGGCACACTTTTTGCTACATAAATAAAATGTGGGCATGATGAGGAAACCAAGGATACTCAGTTGAGGACCACTCCTTACGTCAATATAGATGTGAAGGTTAGTGGCTTTTTTTTCCAACATTCCCTCTTTTGGTCCACCAGTGTGGATCACATCTGCTCGGCTTTGTCAGGGGTCACATTCACACCGAGTAAATGCAGGCAGCCTAATTGTGAATCTCAGGCAATCTCACATCAGTACTGAGAATACCGGAAGAAAATCGTGTAAGGAAATTTACCTTCTGTTAAACTTATTCACTCTCCTATGCTTTGCTCCCGGCGGAAATCTTAGGTGACATGGTAGGGCAACATGTGTAAGAAAATTAACAGTCTTAACAGCCATGAAGATCTCCAAGCACTCTTGTTCCCAGTGATAAACAATGATAGCTCAAGTCAAACTAACATCCTAGGGTTTCCATCAGAGGTTTATGTTTTAAAGAATTAATTAAAACCTTGCTTTTGTTTAGGAGGAGTCACGCTATTCCAATTTTCCGTGACATTTTTGACGGAGTATGTTGTTCAATGATGGTTCCTCAGATAATTTGGGAAGGTCTCAGGCCCAGGGGTTTGTACAAACCTACTCCAAGTAGCGAGGTAGCAGAGTGGCTGCACACTGTGCCGGCACTCGCTGCTGTGGCACGTGCCGGGGGCCGCGGCGCGGGCGGCCTCGCACCAGCACCAGCACCAGCACAGCCCCCGGAAGGCTCGGCTTCCTGCCAGGGAGAGGCAGCGCGTGCTCCTTAATTAATTCTCGGTTCAAGAATTCTTCATTCAAGAATGGCATGGAGTTTTGGGGCTTGCCCACAAATGACGGGCCTAATCCTTACTTACACGAAGGCCTCTACCAGTGTAAAGTTATGGTATGGTAGGCACAAATATTGCCAGAGCTGACACTTCTAACTTTTGCCTTTTAAGCTCTCATAGAAAGGTACACTAATCTGTGACTGCATTTTATTGTTATTTTGCTGCTGCCTTGGGAGCACAAAATCAAACGTAATACTTAAAACGTTTCCCTAGAAATGTTTAAGGAGAAAGATTTTTATTTTTTAAGTTGAAAATTTAACTGCATGCTTTACCAACTTCAGTGAAGCATCAATCATACTGGACAAGCAATTTTAAGAAATAAGATAGTTTAAAAAATTAATTCTGAAAATACTGCCAACAATTTCATGATATAGATATTTTTAATATTAAAAGTAAATTGTAAATGTGTCTTTATAAACAATATGCATAAAATAGATCTACTATACTAAGCTCTCTCTTTTTAAATGCTGTTTCACAGTAATTTCTTAGGTATGCAAAGTTTTCCCTCAAAGAAATAGTGCAATCTGAAGAACATACATTATGTCAGCGGATTAGAACTACTATGGTCATTAATATAAGTCTTTATAGATTTCTTGTAGGAGTGGGTGAAGACTCATATCTGTCTCCGTTTTCTTTATTATTTGCAACAGCTGCACATGTTCCGTTACAATCTGTCTGAGGTCCGTCATTTTCTGCAGCAACTTTGCAAACAGCTGTGACGATTCCGGATGATTCAGCTTTAGCTGGAGCTCCAAAGCTTGCAACAGGTTGTCTTGTATATCTTCAATGGGCTTCACATTTAACAAACCTGGACGATCTAGGAAAAAAATTGGGAGTTGTAAGTCTATGGAAACAGCAATCTCCTCTGTTAATGTCTTAAAGATTTCTTAGTATACTAAACATTTATATATGTCACTTCCTGAGAACTATTTGACAATTTCTTCCTGTATTTATTTTTAAGATTTTACTAGAATTCCCTCAAAGAAGTTTTAGAACTCGTCTTAGAAACAGTTTGATCATTTGTGTGTTGCACACACAGAGACGGGTTTACCCAATACCGCAATGCATTTTCCACAGTAAACTGGGAGTATTTATGGCAAGGAAGAGCGAGATATAGTTGGGGGATAAACAGTCCATATCAAGTAATTCACTTCTGGAAAATCAACATAGATGGAGTTGCGCGTAGTTGCTACCGTTAAAAATATTTCCTGCTAAGGTAAATGCTAACCTATTGAAAGAATAATAAATAAAAAGGCATAGATTCAACTTCTGCTGTCATACTAGCCTGGAAGTTTTAAAAATCACAGGTTCAGTTCTTCTCCACACTCAGGTTCCAGTTGCTATTAAGAAGTGTCACGATAGCTTTTAGCATCAGCTCATCAGCTTAGCCACAGATACTTCTGGCAGTGGAGGACTGATAGATGTGGCTTGTACAGAAAATGCCTTTTCTGGGCTTGTGCCAGCAGAGTTCTCCTCCATATGGACGAATCTGGGATGGATGTTTACAACCAAAGTCACAGCTGCGAGAGGCCAGGATTATCTTTTTTATTATTCTTCAGCAAGAAGCAAAATCTTTCTTTTTTTAACCATTATTATCTTTCATAATAACAGCTGTCCTGTTACTTGCCTGTCCCCAAATATCTTCTTAAGTGGTTGCAATTATTATTTAACATAATTTGTAGCATTTGTTTTCTAACTTGAGGTAATAAATCACTTAATTCTACAGCCACGAAAGTTAATAAAGTTGCCTCACATCTGACAATGACCACCAGTAATTTCTTACTGCTAAAACTACTTTATACTAGGTAACACATCCTGATTATCAGAATGCTCCATGAAAAAACAGTCAATAATTTAAATAACATTTGCTGGGTAGCTATGAAATTAATTTCGTAGGTTGATCAATAAAATGCCATGCCTATAGCGAGCCTTAAATGACTCGTCTAAGGCAATGTTTCGATTTCAGAAAGGTCAAGAGGTTGATTTTTATCATTTAAACCTCTTTTATCATTTGAAAAATAGGCTGTTATTCCTGTGATCTTAGTAACCTTTCCGTGCATCCAGTTCTACTAACTCAGCTTGGCTTGTGTTGTATTCTAGAGAAAAGGCTGAGAGAAATCAAAGCTCTTTATAAATACATTGGGGTTTTACTTCACGGCGAAAAAATTGCAGTGTAAACTAAAAGGCAAAGTTGGCATGAAAACAAATGTGTATGCACAAGCCACGAATATATGTCAGTCACTGGTTAGGAAAGTATCGTTAACTCTCAAAGAGGTGAGGTTTGGGGAGTTTTTCTGAAGCAGGGATAACGGCAGCTTTGAACGTGGAGCTTGGTATTTGTTTGCGGGTGGTTTTACGAGGTGACTGCTTTCAGCTGTAGGTGGCTGGACTCAGTGACCCGTTTGGCCACTCTTTCCATTGCACATTTCATGCTAATAAGCTGTGCTCGTCTTGCAGAGATCACTTATTTCTACCGTTCAGCTGATAACACCATAAAATACGGTTCAGAAAGTCTGTAAGTAAGTATCTGCAAGCAGAAAGTTGTCTCCAAATGGCTCCTTTTTATTAATTTTCTTATGCAATATTATAAAGTAATTTTTAAAAGATACTTAGAGAATTTCTTATCCATTTTAGATATTTGTTTTTAGATTACCTAGATGCATGGCATGTGCTGCAAAATCTAGTTGCTTTCTTTATAGCTTTCAGAAACTTCCCAAATTTCAGTACTTCAAAACTGTTAATAATTTTGGGTTTGAGTTGCAATAGCTTTAAATTTTACTTCTGTGTTGCAGATGAACTCTGAACTAGCTGGGTATGACTCAGTGCACAGTGATATAAAAAATCAAAAAGCACAAAGACTGTGGCCTTGATTTCCTCTGAGATTAATCTCCATTTGCCCCCTGCTTCTTTTATGGTGGGAATTTTTACAGTGTGAGTTTTTCAGAAGTGAAACCCAATTCAAACATTGTGCTCCCCAGCACAACTTCAGAGTCCAGGAGGCAAACACAGGAGACGGGTACCGAGCCCGGAACTTGCCAAGGAGTCCCCCGAATTCAGGTGCCCGAGGTCAATTGAAGTCCAGTAAGACTTAAGCACCTAAAATCCTTAAGCTCCTCTGAGAAACCCAGTCTAGTGGTTTTATAATGACCCAGTGAAACTAGAGTCAGAAAAGATGACTGTGACCAAAGCCTAGGAGATCATCAGATGTTATTTTTAAATAAGCCAATTCAAGAGGAAGGAAAATTCCCATTGAAGGCAAGAGAGATTTTTCATGAATGAGAACTTCAGGATACGAACATTATTTTTTTGGGTGTTGACAGTTTGCTATACTTTCTCAGTAAAAAATTTCTTACAGAGAAAAATGCTGTTTCTGTTCCAAGAAACTTATCTAATTCAGAAAAAAAAAAGGAAACGAGAGGCAAAAGTTTTAACGTACAGGTATTATGGTATATTTCAAGTTGCTAGGGTGCTTTTATGTATGCTCTAGACTCCTTGGTTTGCTGTACCAAAAGGTGCATTTTGTGCAGTAAGGAGCTCCAGATAGATGTGGCTTGTACCAAAAATACAAAGGAAATGATTAACAGTAAGCCTTGAGAAAAATGTAGAGAATTGGAAGAAATAGCAGTGGGAGTAAACTAGATGTGGCGCTGTGGTGGAGGCCTTTGAGATAACTAAGACAGAATTGCTGTTCGAAAGCTCACAGAGAAAACTGCAAAGGGAGCAGATGAGGGAAGTGAAAGACAAAACCAAGTAGTTGTAACAGGACATTCTTATGATTCAATTAAATTAGGTTACAGACAGCCAAAGGAAAATAGAGTTGAAATGATTAAGGTGAGCGATAACTAGAAGTGAATCGGACACCACTTTTAAACCTCTCTGATGCAGAAGATTGTTGATTGATGTTTCGGGTTTTTTATGTGTTATTTGCAACCTGTCTTTTATCCATTCAGACTGTGCCAAGGGTGTACCACATTTCTCTTTTTAGTATTACTTTTCTTTATTCAGTTTTTCCTTAGGTTTTTATTCATTGCCATACAGCTGTTTCACTGGTTTTGAAAGTTCTGCAGGAAGCTGTGCTAAGGAAAAAAATGTTCACAGTAACTGGGAAAGGCTAAGATCCCCTTAGTTTTGAGAGTCACCAGTATAATTTTGTGTAAATTTGTGTTCTATAGTATCTCAGGAAAAAATATTTTGTTTGTTTATTTACTTACAGATTTGTGTTCTTTCATATTCCTAACAATAATTACACTTTTTTTATGTTCCTCACATGTGAAATTGCCTTCTGCATACCTTTACATTTTAATATCTTTGATTAAGTGCATTTTGCATTTAAACACACGTTCTAAAATCATAATATGATAAAACATGCAAAAGTATGTCTGACTGAGCAACTGTGCTACTTCTTTTGCTGAAGCAGATATGATTCAGCAGTTTGAGGCTCTTCTTCGGAGACTGTCACATGTATTGTAGTCACCAGGATTTTGGTTCAAAGCCCACAGTGATTATCTGCAGTTCTCGGTGTGATTATGAAGCATTTCTTTGTTCTCACAGGTTTGCTAGAGCAGTATTTGTGTAGCAGTCAAATATGAACTATTTCTTGGTACTATTCGGGGATAAAACTTCAAATTTTGCTGACCTCAGATTGTGGCAAAATTACTACAGTGTTTAAACAAGCAGCAGTTATTCACAGCTCAAAATTTACTGTAAAGAACACGCTCAGAAAACAGAAAAAGTGAATGCAGCAACATTTCTGAATTCAAATACTAGTCTGACTGCAGGTCGAGTAACAGTGTCTGGGTCTCCACAGGTATACCCTCTATAATTCCCAAACACCACTATATCCTAAACAATGCAGAAGATAGAGTATACAAAAGGTCAAGTCCCTCCATGATATCTACACACGCTACAAAATTACCTTTTGAGCTTTTTCTTTACTTGACAACAACTTGTTGAGCAAGTTTGCTCTGTTTATAAATGCCGATTATCCCAATAAGGCTTGGACTATTGACTTTCCTGCCTAAACACAGACATCCAACTTCTTCTCCTTAAACCTTCTTCTTGTGATAGACTTAATTTTCAGCTCAGGTATATATAATATTTTAAAAGATGCTTCAAGTTCTTTAACATGTATAGCATGACACTCACTGCCAGCTGAGGATATGCCTCAGTGGCACAGAGGAACACAACAGGAAGAGTATCTCCTTGAAAAAAGTTTTCCAAATCTCATTTTACCGAAGCGTATTTTGCAAAGATACCATCAGTAAACGATTGTTGCAATGAGAATTTGGCATTGCTGTTAATGGCATAAAGAATTTCTTTGGTAAAAATAAGGTAATCATCCTACTGCTCACACACAGAGTCTCTCTGTCTTGTCAGTATTAAATTCAGAATACTAGATTTCATTTGCCACTTGCAATATTGTTTTAAAGCATAATATACCAACATTAAGAACAACTCTTCAGCTTTCTAACAATGAGTTCAGAGTAAGATTTGGAATCACTGAGGCAGAGTGAGGCTGCACTCAGCAGCTCAGAAACAATAAAATGATTGACTGGGGAAATGGGAGTACTTTCATTCTGTTGCTATTGATTCATCCGCTTCTTAGTATTGTTATGTGGGCATTTTGCCTTTTTACATATAACGCAAAAGCAACTGTTTCGATATCAAAAGGCTGAACCGTTTTATAGGATTTGTGGCAAATTCCAAATTGTTACTTCACAATGAAAAGCTTTCTACATGTCATGTTCCAGCTGGAATTATCTTTCTCTTTCCTTTCTCTCATCTTGTTTTCAGAGCTGCATAAGAGATGGCACCCGTGGAGCCAGCAGAACTAACATAATTTCACTAGGCAATGACAGATTCACTTAGAATTAGAGCTTTTGGCTAGGATACTGTTTTGTTTCACAAACTGTTTTTCTTTATAAGATCTTTGTTCACAGGACTTCTTGAAGTGACTTAAACGTTACAGTATTCCTGCAGCTAGTATATTCCTTGAGGTAACATGAACTGATTTCGAAATCCTATTTTCAGTGAAATCATCCTGGTTCGATAATCATCTAGTTCTCACAGAAATTAAGTTTTGCGAGAATATAGGTCTTACAGAAACAAGAGTATCTGAGAAATAGGATTTCAGTTCCATGCCACATAAGATATTACAGTCCCACAGAATGCACAGAGTTCAATATATAACATATTTGACTGTAAATTCCATGATAAAGGTCAGTCTCTAATTGGTAGCAAAGCTTAATTGTTTTCAAAATATAAACTCCGTTTGTGCAAATAACTATTATGCTTTTCTGAAACAAAAAAAAAAAACCAGTTCTGGATAAAGATAGTGAGAGATCATTGTTATCAAGAAATTAAAGGATTTCCCTAGGAAGGACTGATTTATATTTATATGCATTTGCTACAGAGTTATATAAGAGCTATTAAAATTCAGTAGTTCTTTACAGATCTCTGTTTACAAATTATTCTTAAAAAAAAAGACTTGTTGATAAATCTGGTTCAATATAGCCATTTTTTTTTCTGTGGATCATTGTCCTCCTGAGATCTAAAATGTAAGATTAGTTACATCATACCTATTTCCTCTAATGTAAACCAAGCCTCACTGAAGCATAGCAGACCTAGCTTTGCAGATGGCAAGTTCCCTTTTTTCAATTAGGACTGGATTTTGAGACGTCTGTTTCTCATCTGTCAAATTTCATTATATTAGAAAATGCAAAATATTGGCATGTTTTGTGTAGTGCTCTAATAGGCCTGTATAATTTCTCCTCCCCCATCAAAGCCAACCAAAAATATACCAGTAACGTATTTTCCCTTCCTGAATTAATTCAGAGTCCTCAGGGATCGTTGTGTTCAAAGGTTTTCACAAGAAAATGTCTTCTGGGTACTGTACTTGTTTGAAGTGGATTTAGTTAGTCTAATAAACCATATTGTGATACCACATTTTTGCTGAATGAAACACAATGCCAGAAGTAATTGTACATGATTTTAAATGAAACTATACATAACAATGCATTCTCAACAGAATGTTTGTTTTTAGAACAATAGCATGTGGTTGTTGTGTTTGATTGCTTCAACATAATTTAATAACAAAATACTCCACGTTGCTCTGTGGAGGATCTGAATTCAGAGCATTCAGCACATTCCTCCCACTGATATCTGCACTACCACTCCAAGCCAAAATACACACAAATCAGTAGGGTATATTTTTCTTTGTGCGACATCACTGACTTGATGGCATTGGCCAAAGTAAAAGACCTTCAATCTGACCTGAGATGTACATCTGATATCTCGGATTGTCGACGGAAAGGTTTCCAGGTGAACTCGACAGCAGTCGCTAATTCACAAAGTGATAGCTACATCACTTCAGAATCAGACAGAACATACGGACTGTCTTCAAAAAAGCTGAAAATTCAGTATCTTTTTAAATGAAATGCTAGAATGCATGTAGTCTGATACCTTGGGCTTGCCGATTCACACCTTGCACAAAGATTAATACAAACAGAGCAGCTTAGGAAATCTGAACAGAGCAGACACACAATGCCTGTTCTTCTCAGGCATTGGGAGACCATAGTTTTCCTGAGAAATGCACTCTTTCCTCCCCCTGCCCCCCTTTTAAAGGCAAACGAAACCTTGCAGGAATGGAAAAACAATAGCAACAATGAAAAAACTCCATAACAATCCTGTAAGCCAAATGCCACATATATTTTGAAATTGTTATGGAGTCAAAGCTATTTGTGTACAATTAGCAAGCCACACAACCTAATTGCAAGTTGAAAAAACTCCCATGCAGAATTTTAACTTTTAGAAGCTCTTGCCAGTGAAATTCTACCCTTCCTGTTTTCAGAAAGATAGTCCTGATTTTGTTTTCTAACTAAATGAACTGCTGATTCAGCAAGCATTTTCATCTCCACCGTTAATATCAGGTCATTTACATTTTCAGTTTCTGTCTGAAACTGAAGAAAGGGCAAACAACATCAAGAAATCTGAAAATGAATAAAAAACTATGTGTAAATAAACTCACTCTCATCCTGCAGTGCTAAGCACTTTCCTGTTTGGACAGGAATTAAAAGTGTCAATTCTATTACATAAAATATATTAAATAAGACAGCACTTACCTCCACTTAGTATAATGACAGCTATAAATATTGCCAGGTCACTGTCATCTAATTCCAGTGCATTGAACTTCACAGCAAACTCAAATTTGGGTTCCATAAAGTCACAAAAAGGTTTTCTCAGGCTCTTCAGAAACTCCCGTGTCATGAATCCTTGTCCATCAGATATAAGAACTCCATCTTTATTCATCAGAGAAGCCAGAAGAGTATATATGATCTCATGGACCCCATATTTCAGGAGAGTTACTTGATCATTCAGGTCAAGATTCACAAAACCTGGAATGTTCTTGGCAAATTCTGTAATCTCCTGCACTGCCTCCACTGAGCGAAACTGGCACCGCTGGAAAATGCGAATTGCCACCTCTTTGTTCTCCTCCTGCAGCGGTGACACGTGCTTGCACTTGATCTGATCTTCTCCCATCATTAAAGAGTTCATGTCGTAAATAACAAATGGCTAAAAATAAAAGGAAAAGACAATTTACTTTCAAATGTCCTTTCTATGAACACTTGGCTCCTGAGGAACTGAAGTAGCATACAGAGATATAACTCATCAGAAAACACTTAGTAATCTCTGAGGAATATATCAAGGGTAGTTGACCCCAAAAGGTTAAATCTTCATAAACCTATTAAAGCAAATATCCTCACAATGTTAAAATGATTTACGGAAAGGACAAGTAGCTCATAAGGACTTCTCACATGTTCTGTCAATCCACATTCCAAAAATAGGTCTAAAGCTGATACTTTTTTTAATAATTGAGGAAGTGGGGTAAGAAACACTGTTTTAAAATATCCACAATTTCTGCCTTTTTTTTTGTTTGTTTATTTTACGGAAGTTCTGTAATACCTGAATTCAAAGTTTGGAGTGCTTATTAACAAAAGATTAAAAAGTTACTCCTTTTACCTGAATTTTAATGGCCTCTATAAAATAGAATCTAGTGAGTGTACAGTGACAACATTTGCGTGTCTGATGATATAACTTCTTTTTTGTAGAAAGACAGAGTATATTCACATTTTTATTACTTCATATACTGTCACCTTCTTTTCAAGTTCTATCCGTCTAGAAAATACTGCAAGTAATATCAACTTTATGGTATAGATTGATTCATAAATTTAACTTTTTGCTGTTAATTCCTTTAAAAATATCAAGGTTAGGAAATATTTAAACTCAAATAACTTGACAATGGGAAAGAAAACACAAATAACATGATACAAACTACAGCAGCACAATTCAGAACACAAGAACACGTCTGACTGTGAAAGAAACTCAAGTGGAATAAATCAATTTTGAAAGCAGATTAGAAAAAGTGCTGCCAGGAAAACTTTTGTTAGGATCTGGAAACAATCTGTTTCAGAATATGCAGAAGAAGCTTCTGGTTTTAAAGAGGTGGTTAAGTGAGGATTTCTTGAATTTATCCGAAGAATCTTCTTCTTGGAGGATAAATGGCTAAATAGTTAATTGCTGCACTAAACAAATACCTACTGATATTAATATACTTATTAATATACTGGATTAATTAATGAAAATACAAGGAGTTATACACCAACAATTGGGCTAGAGAAATGCATTTTTCAATTTAGGTTCCTTTATGATTACAGATTCTAATGCCTTATTCATACGGGTGCTGACTCTCATGGTTTTATATTCACTCTGTGCTGCAGAACAGGTGCAAAAATAACCCAAGCCAATATGTAGTCAGCAGTCCTCTCCCACACAATCAGCTTCTGGAAACTCCTAAAATTCTATTCCTATTTCATTAAACCATTTTTGAAGCCTATTGAGCGCTAAATTATTATGGAGTTTTAAATAAGGAAAATAGCTACTTTCTTTAGAGTCTGGTGGTGCTTTCTGAGGAGGACCCTGCCCACGGGTGTTTATTGCTGCCCGCCAGCTAGACCTTACTATTCCCACCTCCCCGAGTTCTGCAGATGGAGACTCTGAAAGTGTTTGGTCATCTGCTTCAGGCAGAGTCCATCACAAAGCTCCGGCCTGATTTCCCTGGGAGGGGAGGGAGGGGTGACTGCTGACAGCTTTGTCTTTAACTGCTACAGCTGCTTGGACAGCAGAGGTCTACCTGCGAACGGACGTAATAGTATCCGCACAAAAGGATTTCAGCTTTCAGAATGGTTTCGTTAAATCAATATTCTGCTGCTTACAAGACCAGTGAAACTAGCGCGGTCCCTTTCGCAGTAACCACAGGCAAACGTAGCTCCAGACCATGAGATTCAGTTAAACAGAGTGTGAGGTATGACACTGTTTTTCCACTTGCACCAGAATTTCAGTGTGAAACTGAAAAAATAAACACAACGCACTGAGAAAAGCCGGGAGGTTAAACTATTTTTTTAAGATGTTATGCTACTTTGGCAGCAGAAAAGACATTTTACACTTATCTGTACATATGTATATGCACACATATGTGAAACAGCAGAATAAAGCTTTTAAAATGCATGTTTTAGTACTAGTAGGTCATTCCTTTCTTTTCCTTCTATAAAATCTTAAGTGAGAGCACCAAAGAAAGTAATCTATTCTGTGCATGTACATGTGCTTTACAAAGACTATACTATGCCACCAGCCTACTGACACTAAAAGATGGATATCAAGAAAGAGTTCAAAATAGCTACAGAAATTTTAATATAAATTCAGAAGAATTTTATGAGTACAGTCTTATGTTAAAAGATCACTGTATATCCCAAAAGAGGATGAGTTAGTAATTTTAGTTTTGACTCACTTAGCATATCCATTCATTTTCAGTTAATGCACATGATGTAGCAATTAAAAAGTAACATAAACTTGAACTATGCCCATAGTAAGCAGCTTGATGTTCCAGAGCACAAAGCCCATTACAGTTCAAATAACATCAAAGTTGTAACCATCAAATACTGCAGGTCACTCTTTTAGTGTTCTTTTTGTAAAAAGGCTTGAAAATTTGCAGCAATGAAAAGCTAGATTCTATGTTTATTGTTTTATGGCTATATTCTAATCTGTCAAAGTTTTAATACTTTTGATAAAAAAGGAGAACATCATTGATAGCACACTATATATTTACTGCATGATTATTGCATTAGTGCGACTTTCAGACATGACCAAGTTGCATTTGTTGTGTACCCAGCACAGCAGAGCAGCAAACCACACGCCAATTGATTTCTCTGACTACTTCGTAGAACCTTACAGAACAGAAGCAGGATTTGTGGATGCACTTGGGACCTCAGAAACAACCTTCCCAGATTTCTAAACACACGTCCGGAAAAACAGAAGACGAGAGCACTGTAGGCAACCCAGCCCAAACTTCTATCACCTTCCAGAGTAGGCACAGTGGGCGGCTGCAGAAAAAAGGAGCAGGCCTCCTGGTGACACTTTTGGGATGAAGAGGGGCAAACGAGACATAGAATCACACCCCCCCACACACTCCTATTCTGCTTCTCAGTGCAGGTACACAGTTATTAACACATTTCAAAAAACTAAACTGTTGTATTAATGCTTTCCCGGTGACCTATGTTTCTGATGTAGAGAGGGAACTGCGGAAAGACTTAGAAAAAGCAATGACCCTCAAGTGGACTTAGCATCTCAGCTTCCTGCAGAATAAATAAACTATGCTGGTTCAAACTTTATATACTCCATGATGAACAGTACTCAAATTGTAACTAAGTGTCCACCATATCTGAAGTTTTACTGTAAGGAGTACAGCTAAGTTCGGGACAATATTTAAACTATGATTTTAACTGTCTTTAAAGAAAGCAAGCATAAAATAACTCTAAATTCTTTCCTGTCTTTAAAATTATTAAAGAAAACAAAATACAGTCTCTGTTGTAATCCAGACAATAAATTTTCTGCCAATGATTCTAGAAAAATATATCAAGCTAAGAGTTATAAGTTTTGGAAAATAATTTTGCTCCTTAGGTATTAAAATAGTGACAAAATATAAAACCTATCATAATTACCAGATCTCCTTCTCACTGATACAGAAGATTGTTACATATTACTAGTGAAACTTCCAAAGCAACCCACAAATACACGTCTCTCTATTCCTTGCTTTTCAAAGATTTTGTTGTACATTCTCCTAAAATTCAAATTGTACCAACACAGGATGCTGATCTGATCCAAGATAACCCAGTTGAATGCAGGAAGTCATCAGAGCATCATACGAACAAGCACCACAGTTAAGACTAGTGATGGTGTTGGTACTGGGAATCGTTTGACACTTATGAAAAAGAATATTCCTTTGGGTACAGCTAGTACTGATAATACGCTATGATAAGGATGCTTGAATAGTATAGCAACCTATTCCTGACAGCTAGATAGCCACCTTAAACAGATAGTGTGGAAGATAACCTTTGGTGAAGGAGAATGAAAATGGGAAGAGTGGATCAGAGAGTACAAAAAGGTTAAGATGACCTTCAAATTCTTGTACTGGTTTCAAGTATTTTATTAGGTGAACTTAGAGTTTTTTCAAATAATGTTTACTTATCCTATCTAAAAACATTTCCTGTGTTTCAGACACAGCTTGAAATATGTAACTGCCAACAGCAAAGTTTTTTTTTTTTTTTTAAAAAAAAAAGATGTGTTGTCAATGTGGTAAATCATTTACTCAAAAGAAAGAAAAAAAAAAAAAAAAACAACAGAGGGAACTAACTGATTTGTCTGTCGTCTTTCCTGTCAAGATCGCCCTCGCCTTGGCTTTGGTCAGAGGGAAGGACTTTATGTATGAGTCATACAAATGCTTGGCAAGTGCTCGTAGATCAGCAGATTCAGGGTTTAACTGGTCGATGTCGCTGGAAATCTCTGCCAAGAGCTTCTCCTTCTCCGCTTGTGGCATTCGCCCAAACCTGATGGCTGAAGAAGATGACAAGCAATTACTATAGCTACAGTTGCACCCAAAAAAGCGTTTTTTATGTCACCTTTTGTTATGAGCTCTTGAAGTCTGTATTAAAGCAGTACTTAAGCAAGTAAGAAAAAGATTATTTTCCTCCAGTAGTATAGGAACAACAGCTCAAGTGCTTTAAAGAAATGTAAGCAAACAAATCTCAGAGGAAATAACCTATGTGCCTAAACAGTAAGATTACAATATCTTGCTTGGAAATGCAAACCTGTTGTCAGCTCACCTGACAGCTGGTGAAAACCACTGATCCTACCTCCAATCTAAATATAATGTAAAGAATACCTAAGATATTAAAATTCTGTTGGCTTAGGGCAGGAACCACCTTTCAGTCTTGTATTGTTTTGGGCAAATCACCATATGGATCTCAGATTCTTAATTTGTTTAGAAACAAAACACTCCTATGCCTTGCAGGAATACATTTCTAAATAGATCAGCAGAACTTAATGTAGCAAGTGCTATAAAATGTTACCAAAAGAATTAAGGAATGAGAAAGAAGGTTGTGCAGGGAATAAAAAAGCCAGAAAAGGCTGAGTTCTTCATGGTAACTCTGTGTGCACGCAATACTGAAAGAAGAGGAAATGGTTCTACCTAGTCATATGATCTCACAATTACTCAGTACTGGCTTAAGGCAGGCTGTAAACCTCCTACTTTCACACTTACCTACTTACTGTCCAAGATACTATTTATTCATATGGGGACTGGCCTGGAAAATATTCCAAATGAGCCATCAAGATCAAGACTGATTTATCATACAATATTTCAATAAACAGAATTCATTTTATTTTACAGAACAAAACAGAACAAAAGAGCATCACAACAAAAAAAAAAAAGGAAGAAGTAAAGGTTTGCATGTTGGCCTTAGGAAGAAATAGAAATATTATAAACATGTTTTCAATGATTAGTGTCTTCCCTGGATAAAGTAAAAGTGCCGTTAAGATCACAATACCAATTATTATACTAGGGACATTTATTTTGGAAACGACCAGCCACTTTTCTTTTAGGAGTTTGTTTGCAGTGTGCTGATGGACAAAAATGACACCTTTTTTAAAGAATAAATAACTGTGCCAGAAAACATAAAAAACCCCATTTGTCATATATTATATTTATTGATCTGTTGTCTTATTTCATGGCTGTTGAAAGAAGGTTGTTTATTTTCACAACTGTACTACATTTCTCTTTCAGCAAACCTAGCCTCTGAATGATGCATGCTGTATATTTTGTATTTGCTTGGGTATTCTTAGGGTTAACATGCCAGAATAAAAATCATCATAAAAGGAAACCTAGCTCAATAGGTACAAATTAACATATTCTGTTTTTTTTTCCCCCGAAAATTAAAATGTCTGTTGATTATCATTTTTTCGTATGGGAAATTTTGAATAATTGCCAACTGATACTTGTATTGGATCATATATACCGTGGCAAATGTATTTTTCTTCTCTCTCATGGGAAACACTAAGTATTCTTAATCAGCTACTATTAATAGTTTTCAGGGAGATAGCGCTGCTTTCCTTTCTTCTGAGAGCAAAACATTTAAAGAAAAATTATCAACTACATATTGGTTTATGTGACATACTATAATGGCCCAAATAGACTGACATCATTCTGTAAAGAAGTAATGTGTATGGATGAACATATGGTAAAGTTAGTGATTTATAAAAAATTAATATAAAACAAAAGGAGAATTTGTATTTGTACTTAGTGTAACCTAAATAAAAAGATGAAACATTCAGCATAACTACAAAGGAGTTAATTCAGTTACATATGCTTCCATGAACACTGTGACTCAAGATCATTTTGGTATTTTTATTTTGCAGTTAGAATGGATTCTCTCATTATTAAAACTTCTTATTTGTAGTTAGCACAAATCCTTTGAAGTGGTTTTTAAAAAACATGTATGGATGTTGATAACATTAAACACAAAATACTAGTATCTGCATTTTAGACATTACTGAAGATGTAAAATGAATGAAGTATGAGTATTTAATGATGTAAGTGGAGTGAAAACTCACTGAGAATATCTTATAGCATTCACAGATTAGTTTTTTCTGATACTTGAGGACTGAGTCAATAAAAAGAATCAAACTGTCATTAACATAATAAAGCTAAAATATATTATTACATACATATTTTAAGTAGGCACAGTACATAGAACTGCAGTGTGGGGTCAAAAAGGTATCAATATAATAATCTAGCTAATAAAAGTTTTAAAGGTTAATTAAAAGTCCACGTTGAACAGTGTGGCTAGACATTTACTAAATTCATATTTTCATGAAAAACTACTATGTTTTTCACTCAACTTGGTTTCAGATTTAATATTAATTCAATATTAATAAGTGACACTCATAGGATTATGTTTTAGGGTTAATTTGTCCACTTTTCAAATGTGCACTTTGCAATAGCTTCATCAGTGAAAAAAGTCTTGTGACACTTTGATGCTTCTGATTGGGATTTTGCCAACAAATTCAACTTCTCCTCACCATCTTTTTTTTTGAGAAAGAATTTGCAAACTGAAGACCTAAGTGAAGTCTAGCAAGACTTCTCAGACTATTACAGTGGACCTTTCAGTCCGGAAAGAACGCAAGGCAAATGTTAGCCTCATATAAAGGGCTGTTAAGAAAAAAGGGAGGTCAGAGTTGCCCATGTCTATAAAATGTTGATCACTTTCAGAAATACATGGAGTGCAATTTATTATGACCTGAAGACTTCTTAACATGTAGTAAGAAATACTTAGGAACAATAAGGAACATGTCCTTTGAGAGATTTCACAATCATATCAGCATCTAGGTGCTTTGGGCCAGAAAAATGTTTTGTTACGATAAAACCTACTTGTAAACTATTTCAATATTTTAAATGGAATACATTTATAATGTAATATATAATATCTTTATAATATATTTACAATAAATTATGCACCCCTAACAGCCTGATGTGAATTCCCTGAGATCATTCTGTAAGCCTACTAACTCTATGTATTATGGAAACAGAGCTTGGCTGAACACCAGTATGAGACCTGATTCTGTTGTGGGCCTATTCTCGAGAGTTGGGGTTTGCAGAAGCAAGTTGAAAATCTGGAATCTCACTGGCATAAAATTGCCTTTCATCAAAGTTCTTTCTACAAACAAGGGATTGAAAAAAGGGACGGTATATTGCTTCCCCTTCCTATGTTTTAGTATTAATTTAGTTCGAAAATAGTTTATACACTTCCCCAAGGCATTAAAAACAATAGGAATTTATTTTCTTTTTTCCATTTTTTTTTCCATCCCCCCCTCCCGCCCTTTAATCTGCTGGAGCATTCTTAATGATATACCACAATGTATATACCAGCTATGACACTGATTATCAAAACAGAATTATTTAATGTAGAGATTTTCTTGAAAAGATCAGAGATTTTCAAAACAGAGATTGCTTTGTCACTGGAGAACAACTAAGCTATATAATTGTATTCTTCTAAAGAACTGGTAACAAACATCTTGCTAGAAATTAATACATGGGTGAATAGACCACTGCCTGTTTTTTTCAAGTAAGTTTGCTAGAATTGAGGAGAACCATTTTTTTAAAAAAAAAATCTTATGGCAGTTTTCCACATAACTGTATCTACCTGCTGTTGCATTGATACTGCCAGTACTTTTAGTTTTGAGTATAAAATGGTAGCATAGTATGTATACTATGCTTTCTAAATATGCCCCTTATCCTATACCCTGATTCCTGTGCAGTCTCTTGTCTCCTGTGTGAGTCTCCTGAAAAGTAAATTACAGTATTTGCGCTAGCAATTTGGTATTGCTAAACCACATATTGTTGATAGTTCTCTGTTAAAAGTTTGCAATAGCACTGGTGTGGAATTTCTAATAAATGACAACTTACACTGTATTTATTTTTTAAAGGGAAAATAAGTTTGACTAAGGGTGTTCCAGAATCACGTTTCTGGTGTGCTTATTTATCCTCAACAAAGGGTGCCAAATTACCTTTGCAAACTAGGCATGTGTTATAATCTCCAGTGCTCCTAATATAAAATTATTTCCATTAATTTACAGATTGCATTGGAGTTCATTGTACTGTTAATATTTCATTTACTGTTAATAGTTCTAGAGTAGATACCTTCTTTCACTTATCATTTATTTTTATTTTGCTTGTGATGATGATACTTATTTTCCTGAAAGGCACTTTGAGATTTCTGCATAGAAAGTGCTATAAACCCCAAATTTTATTTATTACTTTGCTATTTGTTTCAGTACTCTTCCTCTCTTCCTTGTTGGAGTCATATCTAATTGTTTACCTCCACGTGTTTGAGAATTTATATAACTTTTACACATGCAATCAAAAAACCCTGCGAACACTAATGTTAAATCAGAGCGTTGCCTTCAATGTGCTAAATTTTATAAATACAAGCATCCTTATGTATCACCTATTTTGCAGTTAAAGCCCAAAGGTGCAGAGGAAGACTATATCAAATGATACATGATTATAGCTGCGTAGCAATTTGCTAAATATTTTTAAGTAGTATTTGGTATAGGTTTGGCATGGGGCCTCATGATGCTAATTTTTCTATGAAGATCAGATTCCTGGCTTCTTTTTAAAAGAAGATTATTTTAAATTCTTTCCGTGTAAATGAAAAAGCGAAAAACCCCCACAAACAACAAAAGAAATAAGCACTACTGCCAAAGGTAACATTGAATTATATGGCAAGCCTGCTAAAATGCTGAGATTACTCTGAAAGAAAATAAACATATGTTGTTATATGGTAACCTAGGTTATAAACACTAACTTCTATTCTTGCATGCTTGCATGCTGCATTCAGAATTGAGTTAGATACAATAAACAAAGCTTACTCCTAGCACAAAAAGCTATTACATCAATGTCAAATCAGTCCAAACTACCCCTTGTTATCAAGGAATGCAACGAATGATTAGCTAATGAAAGCGGGATAACATGGATTAGCTCTTACTGGCCTAAAACTCATCCTTGGTTTAACAACCCGCTTCGGCAGGCCTGCCAGCTGTCGGGCCACACATCGATCAGTTCAGCAGAACAGCCACTCACACTAACAGAGCTTGCATTTAGCAGGTAGCACCAAGTCTTCTTCTAAATACAAGAACTGATTTCACTAAGAACGGAAATGAGATCTTAATGAGTTTGGTACTATATAAATCCGTAGGGTCTATCTTGATGCCTCCCATCATAATATCAGACTTTTCCGTAAAATAATTGGACAATAATGAAATCCTTCAGGAATCTCATAATATTTTCTTGTGTTTAGTGTGTGAAAACTGTTCTTGGGGTAAAGTTTGTTATGCATCTTTATTTTTGTATGGATTGTACATTTATTAGCAATCTAGCACTTCTGCATGTGTTTGTTTCTTTCTAAATGCGTGGTTTTAGGATGTATTAATAGCAGTGGATTTTTCATGACTCACTTTTAAACACTGTCCCTATTTCATGAAAATACATGTCTTGGAAGATATCTGATGTAATTCATGAATTATGAGAATCAAGTTTCCTAAACATAAGGTGAGGGAGACCCTAAAATATATTTTAAATATAACAGTTCACTAACAACAAAGTTAGAGAGTTGTGAATCAAACATTCTTATCTTATAATTTGGTAGGCAAAAGGATAGTTTTCAATTTTTTTAAAAATGTTTATAATATATTTTAAAAATATGATATTAGTGGCAGCAGGTTCTTTTGGGCACATGCCTGCAGCTGGAACGTGTCATCTATCTTTCCTTTCTTTTTTTGAGCATAAATGAGTCCCCCAAATAGACTATAAACCCAGTTTCTTACACTAGAAAACACAAACTAGAACCAGGGCGGATACCTGTCTGAGTTTACTGGAGGCACGTGCCCAGATTGAGCAATTCACTGCTCCCAGAACTGATAATAAAGACATACTGCCATGTGTGCTCCTTCTTCCATTACACTAGCTGGTTTTATATAAATAGTATATTTAGCAGAAGAGAAAAAAAAAATAAATTTCTAAAATGAAATAACTAAGCTTCTGTTTAGTGGTAATTCAGAACACAATCTGAGCAAGGAAGAGTTAAACACAGCAGTGGCTAGCGGAGGAAACGAAAACAATATTCAAAGCATGAGAACACTACTGTCTTTTTTAACCTTCAGCCAAGTGGTATGTAGTGCTTACACGTGAAAAAATGTGGCTGTAGCTGCTAAGTGTCTCCTTGCGTTCCCTGTTTTTGTAAGTGCCCTATTCATTTTGGACTAATGTATCTATGCAAAGACAGTCATAGATCGGAACCCTCAGGCACAAATAATCCACGTGCTGATTCCAAGCGTTTAAAATCCAGATAATTTCACTACCCAAGTGGATGAACTTTAATCTGTAGATGTAACATAAAAACGTGTCTCAGTGTCATTGACAACATCCAGTGTTGCATTTCTGCATGTTTCTTCATATAGGCCTGTGTCTTCAAAGGTGAAATTTAGTTATTTTTTAATAAATGTGTTTGTTTATAAATGATGCAGGAAGGAGGGTATTGTTTCATGTAATGTAATGGAACCAGAGTAGGCAAAACCTGCAAATGTAGAAGCCAATACTTGAATATAAACACTACTAACTCCCTGTTAGGTGAACTCACAGTGAGAGCAACTGGCAGCATTCCTTCAAGCCCTGGGATAGGGGACTTTGCCCTTTCCCCCCTCCTTTCTATGCCCCTCTCTCCCGGACTCCCATAACCGTGGCCCCTGCTGGTGCCACAGCTTCTGCCTTGGCAGTGGCTGAACAGGAAGAAATGGGAGGTGAAAAATTAATTATAAAAATATTTCTTGGGTCCTTTATGTTACTAAGCCAAAGAGAAGAGTCTTGGCCTTCCCCTTCTTCACAGAATTGCACATGGTTCCCATTGACATAATTGGAAGCTGTGTTGCTAGGTTATAAGAGAATTTGGCATGCACCTTGAAAACAATAATAATAATAATAAAAACTCCTGAATCATTATAAAAATACCCACAGTAGCATTTCAAAATTAGATTTATTTTTAAGTGTTACTGTTGCATCCCAGGAACTTGAAAACCGTATTTTCTATTAGCAAAACATTTCCCATACCAATTTACATTCAGTGCATGTAATAACTTTGCAAACCACAGTTAAGCTTTCCTCTTGGGGACAGTACACTCATTTTTTATATTGAAAATAATGAAAGTTCTAAAAAAACCACAGAGAAATTATTTTCCCAGTCATGTTTGCAATTCTTTACCCTTAGAATTACATAAGTCTCTATGTTATGACATTTAATTCCTGTTTTTACTCAAGTTTGCCAAAGCAAGGCAGCAAAGAATCTTCATTATGTTTTTCTGTCCAAACATTCATAAGTATTTCCACATGAATTGATATGTTCATTTTAAAGTTCAGAGGGACTTTCTTCTCAATTCTATTCGAGAGAGCAGTATCATCATATGCTTAATGCTATCTGCTTAACTAATATGAAGAAGGCAATCACAGAACCATACACAGTTGCAAACACCTTTGCAGCCTAAGACTACAACATATTCAAAACAGAAATGCTGATTACAGTTCACAGATGGGAGGGGATATTCACCTCTGGATGGTGGAGAGGTCAGACAGTGCATATTACACAGGAATCACAGCTCTACACACTACACGATGAGAGGCCGACAGCTGAATGAGCATGCTAAGAAACACTACACTCCTACTTACCACACATTGGAATCTATTCCCAGATGTGGTATCCTAGGAAGGAGGAGGACAGGTTTTTTTAAAACAGTACAGGGTCTGGCCCATTCATTTAAAGTATGTTGTGTTCTAGTCCAAGGGAGTGTTAACTTAGTGGTGCTAACAGTCCTCTATAAGTGTTCAAATTCAAGTTGTTGTTACTACTCACAAACTCATGGTAAATTCTCAAGTCCATTTTTCATAATTAAATCTTCCACTTACATGAAAGGGGTATTAAACTACAGTATGCAAAAGAGACTTTCCAGAAAATAAGACAATGAACTGAAAAATAACAATTACACAAGGAATATGTTCAGGAAGAACAACCAACAGTGTAATGGGGAAGAATGATGGAGAGTAAAACGAGCTCATGTTACACTATGTATTACATCGATAAATGCAGATCTCTCCCTATCTTTTTTATATTGAAAATAAACTCCAGTCATATACATAGTCTCGTAAACTCAAAGGCAATCTCTCTGATATGTATTTTTAAACTGCTTAGTGTAAAGAACCAGAAGACTCTAGATGTTAAAGCAGCACATTCAGTAATCATAGTAATGCCATGTTATTTTTCAGATGAAACATTATTGTTTTAAAATATGCTGTGTACACTTACCATTATGCGACATTCCAACAGCGAGACATTTCTGAAATCTGCAGTATTGACATTTATTTCTGCTTTTCTTATGGATGCGGCAATTAAGATCACACCTGTCATAAATTAGCTTTAATCTGATTGTTCTTCGAAAAAACCCCTGGAGTAAACATAAAAGCATATAAAAGAATGCAAGAAACTGCCAGTGCTGCTGTCTCACTATACGTCCAAAGCACCTTCCTGCATACACACTGAATGCAACTTTATTTTAGACAGATTTCCTAGGGACGTAAATCTTGTGTAATCATACTGTCTGCTTATCACCGTGGCCCTGTTCTGACCTTACTAGCCATTTTCAACCTACTTGGATAAAGGGGTAAAAATCTCAAATAGCTGGGGAAGCTGATGGGAATCAATGGGGTTTAAAGGCCAGTAGGGATGTTGGGAGCTCTACAGATGTGCTGAGCGTGAGGGACGCTATGCCAAAGGAAGCAGAATTCCATTTGCTCCACTGCTCAGGGGACAACTTGTTATAAAGTGAGCATGACATTTTCAAAATGTAAAGTTCACTACAAATGTAGAAAATTTTTTATAAATCACAGCCAACTAAAAATTCTGCCAGCAGCAGTTTGATCTCAAGTAAATGAAAACATTTAGGGGTTATCTGTTTAAATTTTCTTTCCCAACTAAGTATTTTTAAATTCTATTTTAAATATTTGCTTTTATTTTTGAGCCTGAGTACTTAATTTATATTCTTTCACATATTCTAGTTCTTTGGGTTTGCACAGTGCTGAACTAATTTTGCAATATTTATTTCTGGGTTTTATTTTCTAGGTTGTTTTATTTTCTAGTTTATCTCCATTGTGTGGATATTACAAGTTTGTAAAGCACATTGGCACATGAAAAATCCAAAAACTTGATGCCAAACTCACAGAAATTACTGCACAGAAGTTTTATGAAGTCTTATAAAGAGAGAAATTGTTATGGAAATTAACTGTTCTGTCTTTTTACAGTTTAAAGATGCTTTCTCAGATTACTCATAATCAATTAATAAAGCTTATCATCATTTGTTTTTTGCAACAATTAATTTTTCCTCACAGCAAGCAATAACAATAAAAGAATAATGCCAAGTCTTATTTATATCATTCACTGTAATTTAAGTAATCAACAGCATACTTATTACTTTATGTGTGTTCCTAATTCAGAGCTACACATTTTATTTAATCTCTGCATTGAATCTTTACTGGTAGTTATTTTCCCCAACATATTGAAAACAGAGAAGAAGGGAATTTCATGTTAAACTCTGTAATATTTTTCTTTGAACTAAATGAATTATTATTAATTTCTTTCTCTGGCATTTCTTTTCCCGTTCTTGAGGATGGTAAATTTTTGTACCAGTCATTTGTCCTTTATGCGTTTTAAACACTAGATATAATTGACATAAAAATAGCAGGTGGGGTTTTAAAGCAGAAAGCCACATTCTTTAATATCATTAGGCGTTTCTGTAGCCACCTAGAAATGTGTAAACTGGGTAAAGAAACTCCAGTCAATCAGAATAACAGAGTCTGAATTTTAAATTGCTCTAAGTTTTGGAGCTGGGCATGAGACCGCTCTTGCCGCATTATATGATTCAGATTCTACAAGTGACCTCCAAGATAGCAGAAATTAAATATAATTGCGTAATTGACAAATGTAGAAGAAATGCACAAACAATTCAAATAGATCAGTAACATAATTAAAAAAGCAAATTATATTTTTAAAAACTCCCACCTACTATGTCATAAAGTATCACACAGTGAATATATGCGTATATGTGAAACAATTTACAACAAGTTTACAAGACCTAAAACTTTTTTTAAAAAGCACAGATCTCTGATTTTAGCAAGTGATTATTCAGATGAAAATAGTATCAAATCTTACTTCAGAAAAAATACTTCTGTGACAACTTACCTTACAACCCTCACATGCATGAACACCATAATGAAAGCCAGAGGCCTTGTCCCCACACACACGGCACTCAATAGCCATAAGGGAGTTGGAAGATTCCTCATGAGGTTTGTTGTACAACTGAACTTTTTCTGAAAAGTAGGGTGGGGAAGGAGGCTCCATTTTGATTGCATCTGTATATGGAGAAGGTTTAAATCATCAACTGAACGTATAATTAAATGTAAAGAAGAAGAAGCAAGGAATAACCACAAGCAATCACAGTGAACAGACAGATTCACAGGTCTGCTTCATAACACAAAAAGAGTAGTAAATGAAGGGTGTGAAGGGATGTAAGCTGTAAGCTGCTATTTTGCTGGCAGTATATAGGCTGAAAAACCTTGAAGAGGCAGATTCTGATGTAGAAAGTGTATTACAGAGTCAGTTTTCAGCTCTGTAGTGCTGAGTGATTTGAAGATAGAGATATTAAAAATTTACATATTGAGACCTCACACTTGAAAGGCCTTACTTTCCTCAGTATCTAATCTGGTTGTATTACTTTAAGGTGTTCAGAACTACTGCAGGGAGATGGACTGGAGTGTCTAACCTAGTCTAAAAAATACTTAAGTATCTCATAGACCTATATATTGAACCACGTATAGACCTATATATTGAACCACGTATTATTGTATAATACATGTATTGGATATTTAAAGAAATTTAGCTCTCTCTTGGGGAACACTGATCAATTTTGGGTGCAGTTTAGAGATCCATTTTCTCTTCTGAAAGTTTCTAATTGAGAGAGCAATTTGTAATATTGAACAAGCTCAAACAACCAAAGATGGTATCTTTAAAGCAATCATTACTGGTCATAGAAGAAAACTGTGACATTTGACACTATAATATAACATCAGATCACATCTCAGGAGTGATGTAACAGACAGTATTGCAATAAAGTGAATGTGCTTTTCTTTTTTGTTTTTTTTTTTTTTTTTTTTTTGTTTTTTTTTTTTTGTTTTGTTTTTTTTTTTTTTTTTTTTTCCCAAACTGGCTACATTATACAAACTAGAAAGTTTTCTTTCCTATATAAACTAGGAAGAAAAGAGAAAAATGGAAAACTAAGTAAATACAAAGAGGATTTATCCTACCTAAACCCTACCATACTCTCTAGCTTATTAATAAAGCATTATGGACATTTCTAGTTAAACATGAGAAAAATAAACTATTAGCTAGAAAAATGTCTTTTAATGTATTACATAAGTAACCCAAAGGTACGCAGCACCTGCTTTGCTGTACAACCAGAATTAAATACCACAGTTTTCCTAGCAAAAATTCCCCGAAAGAATTCCTGTACAGATTACTACAAACTAAAGTGATGTCAGACCTAAGTAGGCTAAGTGGATCTTTAAAAAAGTTCCAGGCACAGCAACTTCACATTCCTACCTGGAGCAGGAATGCAGTAACAACTTATTTAAGAACAGGCCACTTCCTTTCTTAAAAGGAGAGTTCCGTGTGATTTTTTTTTTTACTGTAACTGGCAAAGAAGCAGCATTTTTTACAGCATATAAATAATACTAGCCCATGAAGCTCCAAGGTTATGCCTGCATTAGAACACTGATAAAAGCTACACCAACATTTTGACTCAGACGTAGCCGGTATTTCTACTTCAACAGTTTCTTAGGCCATTTGGAATTTAAAATCTACACATATTAATAATTTAATACACTTTGTATGCTGGGGCATTTTTTAACATCTAGGATATTTATTCTGCATTGTGTGCACATAGCTTCAAAGGACACTTTACACACAAGGCACATGAATAGGAGACTGGAGGTTTCAGAAACAAATGGTGGGGTTCATGTGTCTAATAAAAAGTGTTTAATGTCATTTTAGATACTTTACGATACCTTGCCTAATCTCCAGCTGCTGCTTTGGAAGGGTGAAGGTCTGCTATATGTATTCTATCTTTTCTATCTGCCCTGCAAGAATATCTTGTGGACATCTCCAATGACACAGAATACTGGCATTTAGGTACCTCAATACTTCTAAATCCTTCTGTTGATAATACACTTTCCAGAGAATGAAGCAAAAGTGAACGTGAAGGAAATACTGAAAAAATTAGAAGCATACTTTGGCAGTCCTGGAGCTTGATATCGTATTTATAATCAATGCTTGTCTGATCAGTTCTTGCAAGAGGAATATCTTCATAGTGCGGTGAAGAAATACTTGAAAAATCAACAGTGGTGAATGGCTTTATGTCAAAGGAATGCGTATGATCATCCATCGCAGAGAGGTCCACTGGACTAATTCCAAAATTAATGGGCCAAAACGGCATTTCTGTGTCAACCATTGTAATCCCTGAAAACAAAAAAAAAAAAAAAGAAAAAGACATTTTAAAAGAAGCTAGTTATTTCTGTAATGAGTTTGAGCCCCAGCTGAGGTACAATGGTCTCATGTCCAAAGGGTTAGGATGCAAACTCACAATCAGGTGTAGGTTTTAGGGGAATGGTTAGGCCCCATCTACCATTTGGCTTAAGTTTGTCACCATATAATGCATTAGGCTATATAGTAACACTGCATGGCTAACACTGGGCAGTTAACGCAGCTTTGAGGTTCTTCTTAGGAAGGCTCTGACATCTCGTGTCGTAAGAGAAAATGAGATTTGCTGGCATCCAGGCTCAGGCTAGCCTTAGAACAGACTGGCTGTCACAGGTAGGCTACTAGACTGAACTGGTCTGATCTGTACCTCAAAAGGCAGAAAAGACAACTAGTGAGCTCACAGAACAACGGTTCAGTTACATGAATAATTGACAAAAGTATATGTGGGAGAAATAACCACCTAAATAATTATGAATGGTCAAATGAAATACCATTACATTTTAATAGTATATTTTGTAGAATGTTTATGTGCTTTAGTAAGCATGCAAGTCATTTAAAACAAACAAACAAACAAACCCCAAAACAATGATGCAAAATTAAAATGAACATAACTAGAAAAAAATTTCACTTTTTTTTTTAACAGATAACATGGACTTTAATTGCATCTCTCAATAACATGAATATGAATAGAATTAGAAGTCTTCCACAATTAATTTTTCAGTTTTGCAAATTCTAATCATCATTCTTCCCAAGTGCTTGAAAATCTTAAGGTTTTCTATATTAAGAGAAAAAAAAAAAAGTAGTTGGTATTAAATAGTGGTGGGTTTCCTCCAAACAAGAATAAATATCTGAAATCTTTAGTCATTCAAGTATGTCAAAAGTTTTATCCCAGAGTCTTGAACCCAAGGCTCAAAGAAATCTTATTTATGACTTTCCAAATTCCATGTGTTTATGCAGATCTTGAAAGTAGTAAACAACTAAAAAGCTTCAATCTGCAAAAATCTTAAGCAAATTGAGTGAATTTAGATTGAGATATAGTTTAGAGTGATATATTGTTTTTCCAAGTCCTCTTCTGACAGCTGAACCAAAATCCTTGATATAGATATATTTCAACTATGAAAAAGTCTGTAAGTAATAGCAAGTGTAAAACATTTATTGTTTTGTAACTAGGGTCTGTCTTTAATTTCCCATGCTTTATAAAAAGAACATTCTAATCTAAAAATAGAATAGATGTCATAGAACTAAAATAACTTAGTCACTTTGGCTGTTTAATTTGGACTTTAGACTCAATCAAGCAAGTAGCCTTTAACCTCTAGATAACAGGAACTTTGAATCAAAACTACTCTGTCACACTGCCAAAACTGTTGCTGCAAAATCAATATAATGGAACAGACCTGCTTTATAATTTTGAGCTCATCCTTTGTTTTGACAGACCTCCAGGTAAGCAAAAGAGTGACTGTCCTCCCCATCAGCTATACTGAAGGGCTAAGGTAGGAATGGCCAGAAATGGTTACAGTTCTCTTCATCTTTCCCCAGGAAAGTCACCGTCATTCTTCCACCTTCTAGGGCTTGCAGCAAAAACCTTTAGTTCTTCTGTGTTGAACATTGACAACAAAGGTTGTAAGACACCTTTCTAATTCTTAAATTTCAGGTAAGAAATTCTCACTGCAGTGGGAACAGAAGAGATGCTACCGTATCTCATGCTGCACAACATACATGTTGTCCCTGGTAGAACAAAAGGGGAACCTATAGCTCCTTCATCCTGCTGCTCCTATTACTACATGACTGGTAAGGTGGAGTTCTGTAAAGCAAACAGTATTTAAGGGTGAAGGTTGGCAAGGTTAGCATGATGGTCAGCCAGCCGTCTACCTTCCCAAAGGCTTCAGCCACTGGATGGGATATACAGTCTCACGTTATCCTTAATGAAAGTAAGATCTGCCTATGAGCAAAATGCAGAATTTCTAACTGCCACAAGTGAAAATTATCTAGTGAAAGTACATTAGAGGTTGTCAGAGTACCTTGGTGTTATATAGTATCTTCCAGTTAGTCAATTTTTCTGTAAGCATGAAGTGCAAATCCTTGGCATCAACACTGGGAACTGTCTTAAACAGATTTCCAAATAAAGCAATAAAATAGAATAGACTCCTTCTTAAGAGTCCATTTTTGTAATTAACCAGACAGACCTTAAAAAATAAACAAAATAAAATCAACAGCCATCTAAAATTTAAACATTGGCTTATATTCCTTTAATCAAGTGACACTGAGAATTATGTTCACTTTGTATCCAGAGGGCTGCCTCAAGGGTGAAGAAGGAGGATGCCTGCAGGCACGGACCCAGTTACAGCCCAGGCTCACCCCGTGGAGCCCACGGGCCTCGCTGTGCGCAGGTGCACCCATGAGGTTCCTGTGTGGCCGAGAAGCAGCTGCAGGAAACCATTTCATCAGGAGGCAGGGCACAAACTGATGGCTGCCCTCGCGCAGACACCTCCCCTGCACTGCAGAAGAGGCTTGAGTACGTGCTTAAAGGAAAGCGCGAGCTTAACTCACTCACTGAATAGAGATACACTTAATCACCTGCCACTGATCTCAATGTTTGTATTACACACAAAGCAAACGTTAAAATTAAACAGTTTTCCTGCATCATCCATAAAAACTCTATAAAAATATTCTCACAATCTTGAGGCATTATCACTTTGTATTTTCCATTTAAAATACTTCAGTTTGCAAACCACTGTGTGCTGAACAGCAAGTTAAAGCTGGTCTGTATTTCACTTTATAACAGTGAATGACTGTGATGTTTTGGAGAATTTGATTAGTTATAATGTGATTAGTTATAATGTGATTAATTCTTTGAAACTCCTGAATCATTATAACACAGTGTGTGCTTGAATTTTACTATGTATAGGTGTACTACAGCTTAGAAAGTCTCAGATAAACATGCAAGTCCAGAGGCCTGGCTTGCCGGGCACAAACTCCAAAAGCTAAGAGGACATAGTAATTCCTTAGCAGGAATTTTCTGTTTTCACAGTCAGTACTGCTAACTTGTTTCAGCAAAGTCTACCATTAATGCCAGAGCACTTTCACTGTAAAAGTATGTCTAGCCTAGAACTATGATGTTTTAGATTTTTATTAAGCTATAGAAAAAGCAAAATAGAAATAAAGAAATAAAAATAATCTGTTATTTTAACAATCACTTAATATGAGGGACTGTGTTTCATGCATACTGTTTTTTTCCTTACTAATAGTTTGGGGGTTTCTTCTGTGCATCTGTTCACTTCACGCACATTCTGTATGCTGGGAATAGAGGAAATAAAAATGCCAAGATTACACTGAAGGGAAAACCAGGGAACAGTGGGTGCACGTATCAGCTACTATGGGTCACAAAGTAATTCCATTTTATGCTACCCATATTTCTTCTTCTAAGGTAATAAAATCAGGAATCAGCAGCCATTTACAATTCCCTGAGCAAAAGCCTGTAAAATCCACCCCTTCCAGAGTTTAACATCCCGTGACTGGTTAATGTCAGTTCTTCTGATCTCCAGGCAACTAGAAAGGCTTTGCTCAATTGCTCCCCTATAAAAAAAAAAAATCTAGTTTTGAAAAGTCATTTTGTTGTCTATATTATAATTTCATCTAAGATGCCCACAAAGGTACATAGTAATGATACTATATATATATACACATAAGTGTGTATATCTGAAGTCTTCTGTTAAAAGGTTCTAGCATGCTCAAATGCCTTAAGTAGATATGATTTACTGAACACAAAAAAGGTTTGTGTGTACATTCTTAACTTCTTTCCTTCCATTGGAAACTGATAAGTTTGGCTATATTGTAAATCTAAATTGACAAGGCCTTAGCTCTGTACAATTTACACGGCTTTTAATTTCAACTCCCAGTCTAGCATGTACCTAGGCGGGGTCATGAAGATAGGACATTTGATCTAACCACAGCTGAGAAAGGTTTTGCCTCTCAGGCCTCACAGTTAAGGAAAATACATCTCCTCTGAGGGATGCAACGTTCTCCGACAACAGCATGACAAGACAAGATGGGTGTTTATATGTGTGCCTGTCTACGTGGGGAGAAATGGAGAATGTGTGGCTTCTACCTTAATCTTGGCTTTCCGCATCGCTGTATAAAATAAAGAAAATTCTGTGCTTTCCCAGCTGTAGGGACTATATTTCTACTACTTACTGTGATGCCTGCACAAAGGATTCCTACTGGATTTCATGACAACAAAACGACTAAAGTATTTTACTTTCTCTCATGATGCACATACTTCTGATTTGTGTGGTTAAAAAAAAAAAACAGAAAACCAAACCAGAGCAGCAATGTGACCCCAGTATACAGATATACCAATCAATAGCTATTTTTCAAAGATACCAGTAAATTCAAAGTTGCTAAAGGAATATTGAAGATGCCCGTGTAATAGATTCTGTACTGTAAGAGTATCTAAGGTCAAATCAATCACAAGACAGCTGTTTTGTGCTTCCTTTCTCTATTTCTGGATAATAAAATGCATATTATAGCATTTCTTTATATAACAAAACAGCTAGGCATCCATGATCCCACATTAATATTACTCATAAGCATTTCTGAATCATGAGAATTTTCAGGTTTGCTCAGGTTTTGGCTATAAAACCCAAACCATTTCATTACAGTTTTAAAGTCTGAATCTTCACACACGACTGCTAAGTCTTAAGTCAAATTATGGATATCCTGTTCAATTTAATAAAATTTGCTATTCCACTGGAGACAAAATTACTGTTCGGTTTTAATTTATATTATAAATACTAGAATGAAGAAAACCTTTTATGTGCTAGTGTTATTCTTGCATTATTGAAAACTAAAATGTGAAAATTGTTCCTATGTATAATAGTTAGTTTATAAATATTTCTATTTTTCATGTGTACTTTACTTGATTTCTGCTGTGTATTTTGTCTTTTTTCCTCCCCATTAAAGATGAATGCCAACATTTCCCT